AATGAGAGGCTGTGTCAGGTCAGCGATGTACCTTGAAATGTGGAATTCAGACAAAGTCTTGCATATGTGTATGAGAAGACTGGGGCAAGAAGGCTGATTACAGCGTTGTTCGTAAAATAAGTATGGAAAAATATCAAATTCCAACAATAGAAGAGTGGGTAAGTAAATAGTATGTGGTAGAAAATCTGAATGACCTATAGTGTCATATGTGTCAATTTGTAGCTAAATACCAACATTATATTGGATGAAAAAGCAAAATGGGGAAGCATCTGTACATTAGAATACTATGTGTATAAAGTTTAATAATATGCCAAATAATATTGTACATTGTTTGTAGGTGCTTATATAAGTAGTAAAGATATAGCAACATGCAGGATCATAATGAAAAACATCAAATTAAGATAGAGTTTATCTCTGGGATGGGATTAGGGTGTGTGTGGAGGTACACAGGAAATTTAATTTTCTGTTTCATGTTTTAAACTCGGGTGGGGGTGCTTAGCTATTTCTGCTGTTACTGTCTGTATGTTATGATAGACCTGACAATTTTTACGTTTAAAATACTCTTGGTATTTTTTAAAAACATATGGCAGCAGGCATTTTCCAAAATGATGCATAACATTATAATGAACTTGATTGGATGTTGGATTTTAATTCATCTTTTAAAAATTAAGGCATCTGTCAATTTATTTGCAGTGGAGAAGAATGCCCTGTATAAAGAAATATGATTTTAAAGTTAATGCAACAAAGCTTTTATTTTTTTAGAAAAATAAAGCATTATTTTACCTCAAAGGAAAACACTGTGATTTAGAGTTAGGTTAAAACTACTTGAAGATAAAAAATATACTCATGGTTTCAATAACTCCTGATAAATACTTGTAGTCTAATCTAAGTAATGCCTTCTTTCTCCAGAGTTACACACGTATAAATAACTAACCATTTAGTGCTTAAGTAGTATTGTTTTCATAGATGTTGTGGTTGAATGGGTCACAATGAAAGTAAAAACACAAGTGAGATTAGCATTATGTAAACATGATTAGTTTGCTGCATTCCCCTGGGGTCAAGTCTACTAGATGAAGGTTTAAGTGATAGCCCCAGAACAGTGGAGGATGTTGAAATACTTTCTAATTGCCTAGTTATAACTTTGTTTATATAGCATTTTTTTCAAGATCTATGGAACATTTTGATGTGTCAGACATTTAAGAACTCTGTTTTTTTCTGTTTTTTTTTTTGTTTTTTTTTGTGGCACGTGGGCCTCTCACTGTTGTGGCCTCTCCCGTTGCGGAGCACAGGCTCTGGACGCGCAGGCTCAGTGGCCATGGCTCACGGGCCTAGCCGCTCCGCGGCATGTGGGATCTTCCCAGACCGGGGCATGAACCCACGTCCCCTGCATCGACAGGCGGACTCTCAACCACTGCGCCACCAGGGAAGCCCAAGAACTCTTTATTTTACAAACCATTAGAAGAAAACCTTCCTGGATAGGGAGGTGGGAGGTATCAACGGGGGGAGAATAGGTTTATTTATTTATTTTAAATTAAAAAAATATTTTTTATTGGAGTATAGTTGCTTTACAATGTTGTGTTAGTTTCTACTGTACAGCAAAGTGAGTCAGCTATACATATACATATATCCCCTCTTTTTTGGATTTCCTTCCCATTTAGATCACCTCAGAGCATTGAATAAAGTTCCCTGTGCTATACAGTAGAGGTGTATTTTTATTTATTTAAACAAATAAATTTATTTATTTATTTTTGACTGCGTTGGGTCTTTGTTGCTGCACGCGGGCTATCTCTAGTTGCATCGAGTGGAGGCTACTCTTCGTGTGGTACGCGGATTTCTTATTGCACTGGCTTCTCTTGTTGCAGAGCACAGGCTCTAGGCGCGTGGGCTTCAGTAGTTGTGGCACGTGGACTCAGTAGTTGTGGCTCACGGGCTCTAGAGCACAGGCTCCGTAGTCATGGCACACAGGCTTAGTTGCTCTGCAGCATGTGGGATCTTCCCGGACCAGGGCTCAAACCTGTGTCCCCTGCATTGGCAGGTGGGTTCTTAACCACTGCGCCACCAGGGAAGCCCAACAGTAGAGATTTATTTTTAAGGTTCTCTTTTTGGTTTCTTTCCACCATGCCTCTCCTTTTCCTCTGTCTGCATCCTAATCCAGGCCCCCGTATCTTTCTGAGTTACTGCAGGTCATTCTGGATGTTCTTTCTTCTAGGCTCCCCTTCCACCTCCACACCCCAATTCTAGTTGGCCCTCTACTCAAAGATGTACAGTAGTTACTGGTTGCCAACCAGGTGAAATTACTCAGCTTTGTTTTGAAGATGTGCTCACTTTCTCATTCATCTCAATTTGGACTCTCTGTATTCAGGTCAGTTACTCACAGAAGCTGGCTTGTGACAAAGTTTTCACTGGCCCATAGTAAAATGATAAAAATATGGAAAATGTGGTTAGAGTAGTATACTCAAAAAATTTGAGATTATTTGTCCTGCTTTTTGTGATAAAATGTTCATTTTTCATAAAATGCTGGTAGTTGATGGCAGAATTTTAAAAAACATCTTCCTTGGGAAAAGTACAAGTTGGCAACTTTGATGGTTGCCTTCTTCCCACCTCCCTACTCCTCTACTTCTCCCCACCATAAAAACACAACACAGATACACACACACACACACACTCTCTCTCTCTCATTCTCACTCACACACAACATACTTATTCTGTTAAATTTTTTTTGTTTTTGCAAGTCAGGGAAACAATGATCTTAGTCGTTTTACATAATTCATAGTCAACAGTTGTTTATTCCCACATCTGTGTCCTTTCTCATGGTCATTCCCATTGTCTCAAATGTCCTCCTGATACATCAATACAAATTCTACACTTCCTGTAATGCTCAGATAAATCTCCTCTCCTTCAGCTAGTTTTCTTTATCACTTTGTGACAGTTTTATTTTATCACTTTATTTATTGGCATGGATATTGGTTGTCATAAGAATTTTGTTTTTTAAATATGTCTTTTCTATCCAACCAGTTTTAATGCCTGTGAAAGAAAGACCTTTTGCATTTCTTTAACACTAGGAAGATTTGGTAAGGCCATAAAAATTCATATAAGATGTTTTATATTATAGAGTGATGTAATAGTTATGATTTGCATATAGTGTCTCTTCACCATGTATTTCCAGCTTTCGGCTTTATAGGTCTCCTGGTGTTAGTTGTATCCATGTGACTGGTTTTGGCCAATGAGATGTGAATGAAAGTAGAGTGTTACTTCCGGATGGAAGCTTTTGAGCAACTGTAGGAATATGCCAATTGGCAATTGATCCCTAGCTTGGGTCCTAGAACGAGTTTGATGCGAAAGAGAGCCCCAAACAGCCTGCAATGGGCTTGTAGTGTGAGCAAGAAATAAACCTTTGTTTCTTAATGCACTGAGATTTTGGAGGTTGTAGGTAATAGCACAACTTAAGCTATCAATACCGATACAAACTTTAGTTAAAAAAAAAGATAAAATTTCTAATTTTCTTTACTAATAATTTAAAAATTCATTTATAATGTTAAATATCTACAGTTTCAATATATTCTATTTCTTATATTTAAAAATAAAGAAGAGAATATTGAAACCTGAATTATGGTAATGAGATCAATACCAAAGTCTCAAAATCTCATAGTATCATCCAGAAACATGTAGATTGGATTTTAAAATATACAATGGAACATTGAAAGTGTCAAGTTGAAAACTAAGATACATATGAGGAAGAAGATTCATCTGTAGATTAAAATATTAACAGCAAAGCGAGAATCTGGTAAGATTGCATAAAGGAGTCTTGACCCTTAGGAAATAATTTCCCCTGACTCTTCAAGGTGGTGGTGTATGTAACCACAAAAGTCAGTAAGCACAATAGCCCAGAGATGGAAACAACCTAAGTGTCCATCATCGGATGAATGTTTAAAGAAGATGTGGCACATATATACAATGGAATATTACTCAGCCATAAAAAGAAACAAAATTGAGCTATTTGTAATGAGGTGGATAGACCTAGAGTCTGTCATACAGAGTGAAGTAAGTCAGAAAGAGAAAGACAAATACCATATGCTAACACATATATATGGAATTTAAGAAAAAAAAATGTCATGAAGAACCTAGGGGTAAGACAGGAATAAAGACACAGACCTACTAGAGAATGGACTTGAGGATATGGGGAGGGGGAAGGGTAAGCTGTGACAAAGCGAGAGAGAGGCATGGACATATATAGACTGCCAAACGTAAGGTAGCTAGCTAGTGGGAAGCAGCCGCATAGCACAGGGAGATAGATCAGCTCGGTGCTTTGTGACCACCTAGAGGGGTGGGATAGGGAGGGTGGGAGGGAGGGAGAGGCAAGAGGGAAGAGATATGGGAACATATGTATATGTATAACTGATTCACTTTGTTATGAAGCAGAAACTAACACACCATTGTAAAGCAATTATACTCCAATAAAGATGTTAAAAAAAAAAAAAAAAAATAGAACTCAGGCCCACCGGACCTACTGAATCAGAATCTGCACTTTTACAATCTCCCCAGTGTACCCATGAATAATTGAAAGGTACATTCCTACCTCGACGTGTCTTTTCTGTCTGAGAAATACACACATTTTATCCAATTTGATATAAATAGAACACTCAAAAATGCAAAAAAAAAAAAAAAGTCAGTAAGCAAATGGCTCACCTTCTAGACCTAAATTAACTTTTGAATGCTGTTTTGTTTGCCTGCTACAAAGATTTTTGGGACCTTGGCGCCATCTTCTGGTCAAATACCAACTTTTTGGACTTCCTTTTGTGACTTTTCAAGAACTACTGTGATTATACTTTCTAATAAGTACCATTAAGTAAATAAGTAAAAGTCTTTCAAATATAAATTTCAAGAACTTATGCACATAAAACAAAGACATATTTCTGTACGATATAAGCTACCTATATTTATATGACCGAGTTTCAATCATGAGTGAGTTTTTTAATATTTGTATTTGATTTATTTTTCAGAACCTTACACAGAAAACTGCCACCTTTTTCTTAATATAAAGAAGACTCTTTTCCAAAAAGAATTCAAATTTGTCTGTGTTCGATAAGATTTAAGTTTATTTTATGACATTTCTGTAAAAGCTTGAGCTAGGGGTGTGTGTGTGTGTGTGTGTGTGTGTGTGTGTGTGTGTGTGTTTTATTTCAGAAATTATTTTTAAAATACAAGAAAGAGAAGGGGCGGGGGCTGCAAATAACTTTGTTAATTGTCTGCATTGTATTCAGCCTTGTGCTAGATGCTTTCAGGAGATGGTCTCATTTACTTCCCACCCTTACCCCTCAGGTTAGGCAGTGTTGCCTCAGTTTTATTGCTCAAGAAGTAAGTCTAAAAGGTTAAGGACATAAATGCTAATGTTTTGGGAGAAAGCAACTTTATTTTAATAGAATGATTACAATTGCTCATTTATTAAGCTGTGCCAGAAAAACTGAATTGACAGATTTTTTTTGGTCTTTTTTCTTTTGTAGGGACTGATTTTTGTCATTGTTAATTAGATTAGGTAGATATTTGATTTAATTCTATTTTCAGGATAATGAAAGGCACAGGGTTGTTTGTGTTCTTCCCTATTACACTTTTGTTCACTGCTGTCTCCAGTATCTAAAGGGAGTGGCAACATTAAGTGTAAAGTAGGCATTCAATTTCTATTTCAAAAGAAAGAGAAAAAGAATGTGAGACATATATATAATAATATTATTATTTTATATATTGCTATCAATATTTTATATATATATATATATATCAATAGAAAGAGAGAGAGAAAGAGAAAGGAAAAGAAGGGAAGGCAGGAAGAGAGAGGAGATAATCCTCTACTTGGCATATAAAAGGCTTCAGTAAAAAAATAAAAAAAGATACAGTAAGAAGTTTCACCCATGGCATTGGGGTGTTGTGGACTTGGGGTGGTGGAAGGTTAGCACTTATTGGAATTTGCTATATGCCATGCACTGTTAAGCACATTATACCCATAATTTCATTAGTCCTAAAACCAACCAAGTGAGCTATTTATTATTATTTCCATTTTTACAAATGAGAAAATTGTACTTAGTGTGGTTAAGTAATTTACCCAAGGTCACACAGCTCACAAGTGGCACAGTCAAGATGTAAATCTATATCTGTCTGACTTACAGACATATTTTTTAATGGGCTGTTTACCTATTCATTTAGCAAACATTTACTGAATCTATATCACTATATCTATATTACTATATCATTCTTGTCAGATAATCTCATTTCTTCTCATACCTTGCAATATCACATGTAAGGTAAATACTCCCGAAGTATTTCTTCATATACCCAGATGCCTTTTTGACATTCCTTACTCTGCCATCTGTACATACTTTCACCTAATATGTAAGATCAAATTCTAGATTTTAGCCCCCAATTTGTCTTTTCCTGGGTCTCCATTTCCTCTGCAGATTATACAACTATCGATATAGTTAATAAAATCATAAAATTGGGAGTCATCCTTAACTCTTTTCTTTTTTAAAAACTCTCAAATCCTAATCTCATGTTTTACAAGACTTTATAAGGCCTGTCCACTACCCCCATCTCTACCTTCATTTCTCTCCTGCTTCTTATCTGCTAGTCATGTGGGCATTCTGGAAGTTTTGAGAACAAATCAAGCTCTTTCTTTTTTTTTTATTACATTAAAATTTTTTTTAAATTTTATTTATTTATTTTTTGGCTGTGTTGGGTCTTTGTTGCTGTGCATGGACTTTCTCTAGTTGCGTCGAGCGGGGGCTACTCTTCATTGTGGTGCGCGAGCTTCTCATTGCAGTGGCTTCTCTTGTTGCAGAGCATGGGCTTTAGGCTCACGGGCTTCAGTAGTTGTGGCACGCGGGCTCAGTCGTTGTGGTGCACGGGCTTAGTTGCTCCACAGCATGTGGGATCCTCCCAGACCAGGGATCGAACCTGTGTCCCCTGAGTTGGTGGGCGGATTCTTAACCACTGCACCACCGGGGAAGTCCCAAGCTCTTTCTTACAAAAGGATTTTGCATTTGCTATCATCTTCCTGGAATGCTTCCTTCATCTTTTCTCTCAGGTCTCAGCTTAAATGAAACCTCCTCAGAGAAATTTGGTCCTGACAAACCATAATTAAAAAAAAAAAAAATTTCTAACTAGGTCCTTGGTTATTCTATCATAGCACTCTACTCATTTTCTTCCTAGTACTTGGAATGGTGTAGAATTAATTTACTTTGTTTACTTGTTAAATGTGTCTCCACAATAGACTGTAAACTCTTTGATACATTAAATCTGGTTCTTTGCTGCAAACCTGTGACCTAGCACTGGGCTTGGTACCTAGAAGGTATTCGATGAATATTCGCTTAGTCAACAAATAAATAATTTTTGGTAGAACTTCTTGAATCCTGTCTGTGCATTCAGAATGTTTCTTTAAGACCCATAATGATATCCATTTTATGAACAGGAACACTTTTGTGTCTACCAGGATTTTGTCTTCAGCCTCTTCTATTTTCTCTCACAGCTCTCCATGGATTAGAGTCTCCTAACCTAACCCATTATCCCAGACATTTCTTTTAATTTTAGGCTGCTATTACTGTGAGTCTTCTGAATACAATACAGGTAACTTAAACATACTTTTTTCAAAGCCAAACTGTTATTTTCTCCCCAAACTTTGTTCTTTCTGTATACCAAGATCAGAGTCCACACAATTCACCCAGTCCACCAAGCTAGCAATGTGAGTCCTCTGGACTACTGCTCTACTTCATCCCACATCTGATCAAGGAAGTCCAGCCCACTTTAGCTCAGATATGTCTCTCAGTCTGATTGCTTATTTCACCTTTGCTGCCTGTGCTTTAGCACATGTCACACTCCATCTCAGAGACCTTTTATCTCTTTATTGTCTGCAGGATAAATTCTAAACGTCTTCCCATAGCGTGCCATGCCATGCTTACCCTTTAAGAATTAGCTCACATATTATCTGTGTGAAGCTCCTTAGTGAATTTCCCTTCTGATATCCTATACTGCATTGTGCACACATTTAATTGAGCACTTATCATGTTGAATTGTTGTGATCTGTCCATTAAATTTTGGACTTTTAAAAGACAGTGTCTGATCATCTCCAACATCTAGCAAGGTGCTTTTTGCATAGTTTCAGTTGGTGTTTAATGTCTGTTTTCAAAATGAATGATGATCAGTGAGGTCAGATGGGTTCCCCAAGGTAACATGCCTCTCTGTGGAAGATTGAGTTTAGGTTCTCTGATGCTTTTGCCTGCTGTAGTGTTGGCATAAAGAGGCACTTTGAGGAGAAGACTTTACACCCTTCTGTAATCTACAGCCTTTCTTCCATATTTATCAATCCCACATAAATTTACAGTGTAAAGGAAAATAACATGGTTATCTTGCAAACATAGGCCAAGACTAGCCCCACCTTCCAACCAGTTCACCTAAGTCCCCTTCTATAAAAATCACATTCCATACTTGCTTATTTAGATTGCATTACGTAGACTTCATAGCTGATTTAAATATGCAGATTAGCACAATGCACTTATGACTGATGAAAAACTGTCTGTGATTTACTAATTCATGTATTTTTTTAGTAGTCATCAGACATGAGATTACTCTGACAAAAGAACAGGTTAATGACAAGTCTGAGGTCAATTTGTATCACTTGGATTTTCATGTACATGTTCACTACATTTAATAACTCATTAGTAACTCCAGCATAGATCAGTAGACTAAAATGGAAATACACTGTTTTTCAAAACACTAGGGCAGTTTTTGTGTTAGATTGGTTATTAAATACTATCACATGAAATTCTTGCAAATTGAATGTTATCTCCCATGGGATTTTATAAATGTTTGTTAAATAACTTCATAGTCTGAAACAGGGGCTGGCAAACTGGCCACTGGACCAAATACAACCCACCTCCTGTTTTTGTATGGTTGCACACTAAGAATAGTTTTTGCATTTTTTGTGGCCTCTGTTGTGGCCTCTCCCGTTGCGGAGCACAGGCTCCAGACGCGCAGGCTCAGCGGCCATGGCTCACGGGCCCAGCCGCTCTGCGGCATGTGGGATCCTCCCGGACCGGGGCATGAACCCATGTCCCCTGCATTGGCAGGCGGACTCCCAACCACTGCGCCACCAGGAAAGCCCAGTTTTTGCATTTTTAAGTGGTTGAAAAAAATTGCAAGAAGAATGATATTTTTTAATACTTGAAAATTACATGAAATTCACATTTCAGTGTTCCTAAAGTTTTATTGAGACTCAGCCATGCTCATTTGTCTATGTATTGTCTATGGCTACTTTTGTGCTACAACTGCCCAGTTGAGCAGCTACAACAGGGATTGTAATGGCCCACAAAGCCTAGAAGTTTACTCTTTGGACCTTTACAGAAAACCTTTGCCTACCCTTGGTCTGAAATATAGCAGAGACTGTCCAAATCCCATCAGGTCCCACCCACCCCTGTAGTACAAAGTCCTTGTCACTGTTTGAGGGCTTTCTCTGGGCCTGAGCCCCCTTGCCTGGGTTCTCAGCAGGTTGGAAACAGCCACAAATCAACACCTTTGGGGAGTAGCTTTGCATCAGTGACTATTAATGGATAGATACCCAGGCTCCCTTGTCCCTCGACTGGGCATGTTCAATACTGACTGTCAGAGTCCTCTTTGGTTGCCCACAGTGTTAACTGCCTCAGTAAAACACCCTTCACTGACTTCTGCTCCACCACACTGTTTCCTGTGTTCTCCTTCCAGATCAACTAGTTGTACTAGAATCCTTGTTGTAGAGTGTGCTTCTGGGGGGAATCCAAACTAAGACAAATGTGAATTATTTGTGTATATATATTATTTAGGGTGTCACTTTGATATGTAAGCTACTCAGGTGTGATGAAAAATTTCTAACCAAACATTTGGGCCATTTTTTTTTCTTACTACTAAAGGAACTGCAGGTTTTATTAATTGATAGTTTTATTCTGTATGACATATATCGGCCAAATTTATCCTGAAAGATGCAGTTTGATAATTTTCTCATATTTTTGAACATAATGCCTGTTCCAGGAGAGTGATTTTTGAAGTATTGAATTAATCTTTCATATTACAAAATCTTCCTTTTATCTTTTGTAAAATTTATATTTTCTCCTTTTATACTAATAAAACTTTTCTGCTTCCTCTTCAGAGAACTTCAGTCCAATTTTATTTTGCATCAATAATAGATGGAAGCAAACTCAGTATAAGAGGTGGCCAAGATAATTTTTTCCATATGATAATTAGCTATAGGTTCAGAATGTTTAAAAAGAAATATTTCATAACTCTATGGAAGATGTCCATATTTTGTTCTTTGTATACACCTCATATTTTTTTCCCTAGTGGTTAGTTAAAATTAATTAAATGTGTCAGACCTAAACCCCTGCCATTTATCCTTTAAGATTCTGTGGGTGTCTATTGCTTGAATAAAACTTTACCACTTAAGTTACATTGCCTGTTTTTATTTTCATTTGCTTAATGAACATAATATTTGATGCTCCTAAACTGTTTCAAGGAATAGAACACATGTTTAAGAGACTTAATGAAAAAACTCTGGGACTTTCCTGGTGGCACAGTGGTTAAGAACAGGGGTTCAAGCCCTGGTCGGGGAAGATCCTACATGCCGCGGAGCAGCTAAGCCTGTGCACCACAACTACTGAGCCTGTGCTCTAGAGCCCACAAGCCACAACTACTGAGCCTGCGTACCACAACTACTGAAGCCCACACACCTAGAACCCGTGCTCCGCAACAAGAGAAGCCAGGGCAATGAGAAGCCCGTGCACCCCAACGAGGAGTAGCCCCCGCTCGGCACAACTAGAGAAAGCCCATGCACAGCAATGAAGACCCAACACAGCCCAAAATAACAAAAACAAACAAACAAACAAACCCTGAGGAATAAAGTATTCTGTTTGTTTTCACCACATTAATGTTTTATTGTTTAAACAATTATACTGCCTCAAATTACTTCGATATTTTCCAGTTTTTACCTCTTTTTTAGTGTATATGTTAGTGTAGTATATTGTTTAACAATTTTAGAGACATGGTTATATGAAAAAAAGTTGAATTACGTTTAAAATACATTTTAAAGTTGCATTTAAAATACTACTATTTGTGTAAAAAAAGATACATATATTTGTATATGCGGAGGATATATTTAGAACAATACAGGGGAAACTAGTGGCCACATTTTTCTTTGAGGATGGGAACGGGAGACCAGAATCAGAGGTGAAAGGGAGACATACTTTTCACTGTACACTTTTTACACTATTTGTGGGGTTTTTTTTTGACTGTTTATATGAATAACTTTAAAAAGGAAGTTAAAAAGAAATAAAAGAAAGAAGGAAGAAGGCAAACAAGGAGACTCTGGTGTTAGAGGGATCCAGGTTTGAATACCAGTTAAGCCACTTACTGACCACATGATTTTATTCACATCACTTAATCTCTCTGCTCTTATTTATAAAGTGCAGATAATACAATTATAATACATTCATAAAAGCACTTTGCACACTGCCTGGTACCTAGTAAGTCTCCAATAAATGGTATGTGACCATATGCATTATTAATATATAAAGTAATCTTCTGCCCTGACTTCTACACAGAGTAGGTTTTTGTTTATCCACTCACTCAGCACATGTTTTCTGAGCATTGTCTTATTGACAGGTACAATAAGTAGCCTGGGAAGTCACACTGCATCACTTCTGCTCTACTCTGTTGGTCAAAGGAGTCATGA